ATCTTTAAAAAAAAAAAAAAAAGGACTAAAATTTTGATGTATACCACAACGCAGATGAGACCTGAAGACATTATGCTAAGTGAAATAAGCTAGAAATAAAAAGACTAATATCATATCATTCTACTTATAAGAGACCTAGAATAGGCAAATTCAGAGACAGAAAAGTTGAATAGAGGGATAGGGCGGGGGGCATGGAAGAATGGGGAGAAGTTGTTTGATGGGTACAGAGGTTCTGTCTGGGGTGATGAAAACGTTCTGGAGACGGATGGTGGTGGTGGCTGCATACAACAGGGCAAAGTACTTAATGCTACTGAATGTATACTTAAAAACGTGGTTACAAAATAACTAAGTAACACACACACACACACACACACTCTCCATTGGCACAAATACACATATACATCCCCGTAACCATTTTTTGAAATCTCGTGTTTATGTTTAGAACTGATCCTGCTAGCAATATTTACTAACCTGGTAAATAATGATATCAATCCCTCCTCAGAAAAGGCAGTTGAGTAATACTTGATCACAAACTACACACAGTAGTTTCATTTTAAGCTAACCTGTGTAGGTATATAGGTGTGTATAAAAGTACCGGAGGATGGAAGTATATACATCAAGCTGCTAAGAGTGTTTTTTGAAGGGAGTGGTGGATTATGAGCAAATGTAATTCTCTTCTTTATTAAAAATTTAAAAATCTCCCACCCAATCTGTGGTGGGTTCTAAAGGATATTTATAGCAAGAAGTTAGATGTTTAACATGGATTGAAACTTTGTACAGTTGGGATTCTAGAAAGATGGAAAACCAAAAACCAGAACTGCCTCGCTGACCCCTGTCAACCCACAGAACTCTGAGAAATAATTACCCACTGCTGGGGAACCATTCCAAAACTGGTTTATTATTCAGTAACAAACGATGGAACAGTCCCCATTCTCCTCCTCACTCACTCCAAGAAGCCACACTGGCTGTCTGCCCCTCCACCACACCAAGCCTGTTCCTGCCTCAGAGCCTCTGTGCTCCATGTCCCCACCATGAAGAACTACCTTTCCCTCCAGCTTTTTCCATGGATGGCTCCTTCCCTTCAGGTCTCTCATGGCCTGAATGTTTGTGCGCCACACCCCCCGGCCTTTCCGATTCATAGTTGAGGTCCCAACCCCCAATGTGATGATATTAGGAGGCAGGGCATTTGGGAGCCAATAAAGTTTAGTTGAGGTCGTAAGAATAGAGCCCCCATGATGAGATTAGTGCCTTATAAGTGAGCCTGCTCTCTAACATGTGAGGACACAGCAAAAAGGTAGCAAGCAAAGATCACTGGAACCCAACCATGCTAGCACCCTGATCTTGGACTTCCCAGCCTCCAGAACCATGAGAAATAGCGTGTTGTTTTAGCCTCCAGGCTGTGCTATTTTGTTATAGCAGCCCGAGCTGACTGAGATAAGGTCTTGGCCCTAAAACCACACATCACCTGTTTATGTCCTTCGTGGCATTATATCTTCTGGAAACAAGGAGGTGATCAAATGGAAATACCCTATCTGAGATCAACCACGAGGGAGGAGTAGAACCTGCCATGACTGAGTATCCTCAGTAGCTCCTGAATTAGCTCAGAAATCCCAAATGGGAATTGGCAACTGTTACAGGCATAGCTATTCTCCACGGTGATTAAGAATGGGTGCTCTGGGAGCGCCTGGGTGGCTCAGCTGTTAAGCATCTGCCTTTGGCTCAGGTCATGATCCCAGGGTCCTGGGATCGAGCCCCGCATCGGGCTCCCCGCTCAGCGGGAGGCCTGCTTCTCCTTCTCCCACTCCCCCTGCTTGTGTTCCCTCTCTCGCTGTGTCTCTCTCTGTGTTAAATAAATAAATAAAATCTTTAAAAAAAAAAAAATGGGTGCTCTGGAATCAGACTGCCTGGGTTCAAATCCCAGCTTTGCCACTTTAAGCTGTACGACCTTGGGCAAGAGACTTCACTCCTCTTTGCTTCAACTTCCCTATGTGTAAAGCACAGAAGACAGTAACTCCTGTCGCACAGACTTGTGGAAGGATCCAATGAGTTATCACCTTAGAAGACTTAGGTAGTGAAATGAAAACTTAGAACGGTGTTTGGCACGCAGTAGGCACTAAATAAATAGCAGCTTTATTATGTATTAAAGAGTTACATTCGGCCTGCAGCTGCCCTCTCAACAGCTAGGTTACCCTGGGCAAGCTATCTTACTTCACTGAGCTGTTTCCTTTTCTGCCAAATGAAAATCAATCATTAAACCCACTTCATAGAGTTTCCCAAAGTTTCTCTTTATATGAAATAAAGCATGTGAATAATAATATTAACTGCTAATACTGGCTGGCCCCCTACGATGAACCACGCGCTCTATGCCCTCGGAGGCAGATGCCACAGGGCTCCTTCCGTTCAACCACGAGGATATTCAGGCTGGAGAGCTGGAGAGGCTGCTCAGGGGCTCCTGAGAAAGAGGCAGGGCTGAGTCCGAGCCCAGGTCTGTCTGATCCTGAGCGCGGACTCCTTTCTCTACATCAGTGCATCCTTGGTCTACAGAATGCCGAGGGCTATGACCATGTATGACTTCACATGTTCCTCACAGCCCTGAACCCAAGTCTGACTTTTAAGCTCACGTTCCTTCTTGCCATGCTATAGAATCAAGGCAAGTGCTCTCTGTTTGTTAGCATCATTATAACTGGTATGCGGCTCCCTGAAGGCTGAGGCTGGGTCTTCCTCATTTTTATATATCACCTCTGGCCTTTGAGCACTATGTCTCCTACGTGACAGACGCCTATAAATATTTCACAGCCTGTGCCTGTGCCCTGCTAACCTATTTTTTTTAATAGGGCCTACTGGAATGCAATTAATAAAGCACATCCAATTATTATCAGGATGACATCATTTCTCAGTCTGCACCTGAAGTTGCTTTTCTCTAGAAGCTGCTTCCAATTCTCACCTTGTGAAGAGGAAGGTAACAGGGGAGTGATTCTCACGCCTAGAGGAGGAAATCAAGACCCATGTGACTGCACAATACTCTTTTTATGACATCCTTTATCGGCCGATAAACTCTTGCTCAACCTTGTGGCAGGTCAACGTCCCACCGTGTCAGGCGTTGAGATGGGAACACATCACACAGGATCCCAAGTTCAACAGACAGAAGGGCCGCACCTTTGGTCTCAAACATCAGGGTGTGGTACGGCGGGGAGAGGGTCAGGAAAGTGCTGCATTCTCAGGGGCCCCATGCCCCTCCCCTAAACCCAGCAACACTGCCCCCTCCAAGTACCTCTGGATCCACTGGTCTTTGTAGGAGGCGCTGAAGGAAATGCCTGAAAAAAGTTCAGACTTGTTGAAACTCACATGAAACTGATCCCAAAATGGGCCAAAGGGATTTCCTTCCTGCAGAAAGAGAGAGATCAAAGACTTACTGAGGAGGGAAAGCCCTCTGGGTATGGGGCCAAGGAACTGTGGGTGGGGGAACCCTGGTAGACTAGACTTAGGTTGAAACCCCTCATAGGATGGCCAATAGGAATGTCACTTTGTAAATCCTGAGCTGGGGACTGAGGAGAGCAACTCGGCCTCCAGTCTGGTTTCCAGCAGACGTTCACCACAGTGTCTAAAGGAGTCTTACCCACTGACATGCCACATCCCACTGACCCTGCAGCTCTAGTGGGGGTAGAGGAAGGAAGTGGATCTTGAATTTGGGCTTTAGATCTTGGACTAGAGCTTTCAGAGACTTTCAGACCAGCTAACACAATGCCCTTATTTTCAAGATGGAAACCAGGGCCCAGACAGCGTAAGACCCTTGTAAGGTCACACAGCAAGTAAGGGCAGTGTCGTGGCTATAAGCCAAGCCTCCTTTCTCAAATTTCATGGCTCTTTCAACTACCCTCCCTAGACTTTAGCATAAGCACTGAAAGACATACTGGGGATTGTCTTATTCCCAAAGTACCAGAAAATTACAAATTTCTCCTGATGAAATATGACTGTTTCTTATTTACCTGCTGAAAGGCAGGAATGTATACAAGATAAGAGGGTGGATAATGGAGCCAAATTACCTGGAGTTGAATCCCAGCTTATTTGCTATGTGACCTTGGGCAAAATATCGAAACTCTGTATTGCACTCAGTGTCCTCTCTATAAAACGGGGATATTAATAGTACCTCCCTCATGGAGCAGTTGGAAGATTAAGTGGGTTAATATGTGTAAAGCTCTTATGGTACCTGGCTTGTAGTAAGTGCCATAGAAGTATTAGATATTATTTGGGGCACCTGGGTGGCTCAGTTGGCTAAGCGTCTGACTCAGTTTCGGCTCAGGTCATGAACTCAGGGTTGTGAGATCGAACCCCCAGTCATCAGGCTAGTGGAGCCTGCTTAAGATTCCCTCTCCCTTCCCTTTCCCTGTGCCTCTCCCCCTACTCTCTCTCTCGGTCTGAAAAAAAAAAAAAAAAAGTATTAGTTATTATTACTCATGTGGCACTTTACAGTTTATAAGCACTCCTGCACCTGGCCCTGTGACATTATTGAGTGAGACAGAGCAGGGATAAAGGCTCAGAGGAATCAAGGTCCTCTGCCCAAAGTGACACTGCTGACGGACGTCAGAAATGGGACTTAAATCTCCATCTTTCTACGCTAACCCTTCTAGTGCCTTTCCCCACATATTGTTGTCACAGTGTCTCAGGGGCCTAGAGGACAAGGAACAGGCAGAAAGGGTCCCCCAGACCCACCTTCATGGGGCACGTCTTCTTATCAGGGCTTCGCTGGGCTGCCACCTCAAAGCAGTATGCCACCCGCCTCTCGGGGGGCCAGTGAGTGGGTGCCAGCTTTTCCATGAAGTTCTCCAGGCTGATAACTCGATGGTAGGCCTGGAGGGGCTCCAGCTTGAAGTACTTCTGGTAGGACACATGGAGCTACAGGAAAAGGCGCAGAAGGAGAGGCAGAGATTCCTCCTCAGTATCCTAGTGGCTCTTTTAATAAGACATTCATTAAAACCATACACTCCAAGACCCAGACAGCTCAGACTATAAACCAATTAAAAACTTTTGGAAAAGGACACCAAAGCTAGAAGAGAAAAAGACTGGGAGAATTTATCTGCAAACTAACGAAGAAACAGTAACATCTTTTGTGTTCAGAAATGCTTGCTGATCTAGATGAAAAAAGGCAAATGATGTAAGGGAAAATGTGAGCAAAGGACAGAAGTGAACAACTCACAGCAAAGAAAACCCACATAGCCAATACACTCAAAAGATGTACAAACTCACAAGTAACTAGAAAAAAGCAAGTCACAGTTACAAGGCCACTTCTCACTTATTAGACCAGCAAAAATTTAAAAGCTTAACTTTAATTGTTGGAAGGGAAGTGGGGAAATAGGGGCTGCTGTATATGGCTGATAGTCGAAATGTACATTCTGGAACAACTACTTTAGAATGTAATCTTGCAGCATCTACTAGAATTTAAAATGTTCCTTCCACCTCTCTGTATTTTCCCTAGAGAAGCTTTTCCACTTTGCATGGGAGATGGGTACAGGTATGCTCAGTGCCACAGCAGAAGTACAAGAAAGACCTCAGAAGGAGTCACACTGAAGACATTACGTCCACGACAGTGGCTGCCTCTGGGGCTGGGAGGAGGGAGTGAGACTAGCCTCGGGAGCCACGGGAGACTTTATCTTTCAACAACTTCATCTGTAATATTATATTTCTTTTATTTAAAAAAGAAAGATGAAGCAAAGAGAAAATGTTAAATAATGATCACTTCTAGAGGTGGGTACATGGACGGTGATTATATTAATCTCTGTAGTTCTCTAGATTTTAAAAAAATTTCTTAGAACACCATGGAATAAAAATTTAGACTTTATCCTATAGGTCAGGGTTCCCAAGCATGTTCCACTAGTTCATGGGGATAATCTGCAATCAAAAGGCTCCAGAGTTAAATAGACCTGGGAAATGCTGTGTTAAGCTGATTTCTTTACTATAGGACTTCTCAGTATGCTAATGTGTATTTTGAATCTCCAGTTTTGGAGGATGGGGAGTTGAGAATATAATTTCCCAAACTGATTTCCTTCATGAGCCATTGGCATTTCAACAAACAATTTGGGATATTTAACTATTAGCAACAAGGTCTTGCTGAAGGATTTTATTTTTTTGAAGATTTATTTACTTTTTAAAGACTGTATTTATTTATTTATTTGACAGAGAGACAGCGAGAGAGGAAACACAAGCAGGGGGAGTGGGAGAGGAAGAAGCAATGCGGGACTCGATCCCAGGATCCTGAGATCATGACCTGAGCCGAAGGCAGATGCTTAACAACTGAGCCACCCAAAGGTGTCGCAGATTTATTTATCTACTTTTTAGAGAGAGAGAGAGAACATGAGCGGGAGGGGCAGAGGAAGAATCTCAAGCAGACTCCAAGTTGAGCACAGAGCCTTACACGGGGCTCAATCTCATAACCTGAGATCACAACCTGAGCTGAAACCAAGAGTCAGATGCTTAACCGACTGTGCCACTCAGGTGCCCCTTGCTGAAGGATTTCGAACAGAAGTAATAAGAGATTTGCCTTTTAGAAAGATCACTCTGGTGGCAGAGGAGAGAACATATGGATGGTAAGATTAGGGTAGGAAGAGGAATAAGGAGGTTACTACAATGGTCCTTTTATTTGTTCAAGTACTCACTCAACATGTATTTTTGAGCATTAAGTCCAAGTGAAGATGGAGGGCATGGACAGCTTAGGAGAGGTAAAGGAAGGTGGAGTAGAGGGTAAAAGGAGGCATTTAGGATGACTTCTAGGTTCCTGGCTTGGTATGCAGGTGAATGGAGGTAACATAAACTAAGGCTGGGAATATAGGAAGTGACACAGGTTTGAGAGGGAAAGATGCCAAGTTCAGCTCTGTCTCTGAATTTGAGGTATCTTTGGGACATCCAAGCAGACTCAAGGGCTTAGGAATTAGAAACACAGGCTTATGATCAGAGGAGAGTCTGGGCCACAGATAAGATTGGGAGATACGTGGAGAATAGTGAAAGCCACAAGACTCAACAGAAATTCATAGCAAAGCAAATGATGGTAATAATAGCAACTAATATTTATTGAGTGCTGACTTAGTGCCAGGTGCTGTACTCATCACATTTCATGGACTTGCTCATCTAATTCTAAGAGGTAGAAATACAACCATCTCCAGTTTACTTATGAAGAAACCCAGGCAGACAGACTCTTGATAACTCATCTGAGGTCACATAGCTAATAATGGAAAGAGGAGACACACCAACATTTATTTTTTATTTTTATTTTATTTTATTTTTTTGAGAGAGAGAGAGCGTGCATGCACGGGAGAGGGTGGGGGTAGTGGGAGGGGCAGAGGGAGAGAGAGAGAATCTTTTTTTTTTTTTTTGAGAGAGAGAGAGCGTGCATGCACGGGAGAGGGTGGGGGTAGTGGGAGGGGCAGAGGGAGAGAGAGAGAATCTTTTTTTTTTTTTTTGAGAGAGAGAGAGAACGAGTGTGCACAAGCAGGGGGAGGAACAGGCAGAGGGAGAGGGAGAAGCAAGCTCCCCGCTGAGCAGGAAGTCCGACACAGGGCTCAATCCCAGGACCCTGGGATCAGGACCTGAGCCAAAGGCAGAGCCACCCAGGCGCTCCGAGAGAGAGAATCTTAAGCAGGCTCCACGCCTAGCACAGAGCCCAACTCGGGGCTCAATCTCACAACCATGAGATCACGATCTGAGCCGAAATCAAGAGCTGAACGCTTAACTGACTGAGCCACCCAGGCACCCCAAGGCACACCAACATTTAAACAGTGAGTGGAGAGAGAGAAGCCCCCCATACAGCACAAAGAGAAAAATGCTGAGAAGTCAGGCTAAAGCAGGAACAGACTATGTCTTAGAAGACAGAAGAATAGGGATGAGAGGCTCACAGTTCCAGGTGCCACCCAGGAGGATAGCTGGAAGACTAAGAAATGACCCCTAGATTTGGCAATTCTGAGGTCCCTGGTGGCCTCTGTGAGAACAGTCCCAGTGGGGAAGGGGAGCCTAATGGGATGGGTTGAGTAACCCATAGAAAGTAGAGACTCAGAAAGATTCTTGGCTGAGAAGGCAAGCGAGAGAAAGAAAACAAGGCATAGGGAGACAGACAATGTCTAACTATAACAGTGAGTGCAAAAAATCAGCACATCAGTGGCTCCCAGTTACTGAGGACTTCCTATGTCCTAAGCACTTTTCACTGATGAACTATTGATTCTAAGAGAGAGGCATACAATATTCAAGGCATGCTACAATCACTAACTCATTATGGGAGGTAATCACTGTTACTACCGGCCTCTTTTAAAGATGAGAAAACTGAGGCACAAAGAAATCAAGTACTCTGTCCAGGCTACATGGTTAGTTAAGTAGTAAAGCCAAACTACGATCTCAGGTCCATTGGCTTTTTTTTTTTTTTTAAGATTTTATTTATTTATTTGACACAGAACGAGAGAGAGAGTGCACAAGCAGGGGGAGTGGCAGGCAGGCAGAGGGAGAGGGAGAAGCAGGCCCCCGCGGAGCAGGGAGCCCAACGCGGGACTCGATCCCAGGACCCTGGGATCATGACCTGAGCTGAAGGCAGACGCTTAACCAAATGCGCCACCCAGGCGCCCCAGGTCCTCTGGCTTTTAACCTCTAACTGATAAAAACCTCTCTTAACATAGACATGCAAAATAATAATAATAATAAAAACCTATGCAGAGAAAAGGCTGTAAGAATGATATGCATTTTGTACATACAAATATAATTTTTTAAAGTTTATTAAAAACTTTTAGAGTCAATTCATTAGATTAATTCAGTTCCTACTGCCAGGCCCCTGGGGATACAGTGTGAACAAAGACAGACATAGGATCAGTGGAAGACACAAAGAAAAAGCAAGGAATTAGAGGATGTTGAGTATCACCATGATGGGGTGAGACAGCTCTGGAGCCAGACTGTCTGGGTCTGTGGCCTTGAACACAATATTAACTAACCTGTGCCTCAGTTTCTCCTTCAAACTGACAATAGCATCCATCACCCTTTGACTAATGGGATGAGCAGAAGGTGGGACCAACCAGGGGTGGAAATGGAGCTTTAGGTTCAGATCAGACATGGGCTTGAGTACCAGCTCTACTATTCACAAGCTGTGTGACCTTGAGGAAGTTACCTAACCTCTTGAAGCCCATTTTCTCATAGGAATGTGATAAGGGAGAAAAGAGCTAGTCCTAATGCAGTGCTCAGAACAGTGCCTGGCAGACAGAAGGCACTGGATAAGTGTTAGTCAGTTAGCCAGGGAAGACAGTTTGGGGTGGGGATTGGGGAAGGCTCAGAGGAGCAGGAGGTAAAGCCCAGAGAAGGACTTGGTGTCAAGAGGGGGTAAGCAGGACTGGGGTACGATGGATAAGGGGAGGTACTCACATTGGTGAAGGGAGGCCTGTGATGCTGGTACTCAATCCAAGGGGGTACAGCCAAGGTGCGGTTCAACAGCTTTGCAAAAGCCAGGGAGCCCAAGAAGTGATCAGCCTGGTTCCCGAAGCGCCCTGGATGGTATATGGTGGTTGAGGTGAGGCCTGGGACACCGAGGGCATGGGGCATGCAGGATTTGGAAAGGATGCAGGGCCAGGGGTGGGGAGGTCCAGGACACCAAGGAGAGCCAGGGGAGCTGGCAGCATAGGATCAAGTCTGGACTCGTGGGTCTAACACTCAAGGCCCTCAAGTCCTACCTTTCTGCCTCAGTCGCTCTAGGTTCCTTGCCACCTCCCATCCTGACCCCATGCCTTTGCTCCTGTTTTCTTTCATCCAAGGGTGCCCTTCCACCTCTATCTCCATTCATCTGTGCATGAAGGGGCAACTCCAACACCTCATTCACTGGTATCCTTTCATCAACCCCCTGCTATACTCAATCCCCTCCTCTGCCTCCCACTTTGGATTGGAACTATTTATGGTTCTTCGCTTTTCCTCAAATGTCCTTTCCCACTTTCTGGCCTTTGTACTGGCTGTTTCTTCAGTCTGTGAATACCTCAGGAGCAAGGACCCTGTCTGATTCTTTTCGTTAGCCCCCGCATGACATCCATTCATTCATTCCACAAATACTGAGAGGCCACAATGTGCCAGGCTCTCTGTTTGGTGCTGGAATACAGGATTCAGCAAGAAAGATAAGGTCTCTGCCTTCGAGGCACTCACAGGCCAGCTAGAGAGACAAGTATATAGTGGTAAACGAGTATATAGTGGTAAATTCTGATAATTTCAAGGAAGAAATGGAAAAAGTTTGGTGATAGAGAACAGTTAGGTGGAGATTATTTGTGTTGAGGTCATCAAAGCCCTTTCTGGTGACATTTAAGCTGAGACCTAAGAATGGGAAGGAGTTGACCTGGCAGAAGCGAAGAGGAAGGTTTTCCGGTCAGAGGGAATAGCACAGGTTTCAGAACCTGAAAATGTGTGAGGAACAGAGAGGGAATAAGAGTGGCTACAGCTGGAGGATCTGGGGAGAAGGGAGTGATAGTAATGATGGGCGGAGGGCCAAATCATCAGGGTCTGGAGTGTGGAGGGTTTTAAGAAGGAATGACTTTTACAATGACAATCCACCATCCCATTTAAATTGCAGCTTTTAGATTCTCCATTACTCTTCTCTATTTTATTTTCCCATAGTGTTCATCCTCTTCTAAAATACTATGTATAATTACTCATTTTTTATCTTTTATTGTCCGTATCTTTTGTCTATTGTGTGTATCTTTTATTGTCTGTCTTTCCTAGCTAAAATGAAAGTTCTACAAAGGCATGGCATTTTCTGTCTTACCACTGCTGTATCCCCAGAACAGAAAACAGTCCCGGGCACAGAGTAGGGGGTCCTATAAGTATTTGTTGAACGATGAAAGAATCGTCCAGAGGCAACGTTGAGTCAGTGACATCAAGTCCTGCCCCGCTAACTCCATTTACTGAACTCTGGGCTGGCTTAGACCTTGCACAAGACACATAACCTCTCCTGGTCTCAGTTTCCTCATCTGCCAAATGTAAGGTTGGACACAGAGGCCCCTCGGGGCCGTTGCAACTGAGGCAGAGAGGCGAAGAGCAGGCCATGCCCCGCGCTGGGGTTCTCTCCTGGACATGTCAAGGTATCTCTGGGCGCCTCAGAAGAGGGCCTTCTCCTCTCTGGGCCTCAGTTTCCCCATTCGAGCAGAAGGCTCGGGAGGCCTTACCCATGCATGGGCAGTAGAGCAGGTAACCCGCCGGGTCCCAGGAGCCCGCGGGCAGCCCCGGGAGCGGCAGAATCAGCAGCAAGAGAGACACACGCAGCGCCAAGGGGGACGATGCCCACGCGGCGGCGCCCATGACGGCTCCGGAGCCCGAGCGCGCCGCGGTGCGGAGGCGGGGAGAAGAGGGACGCGAGCGTCCGCCCCGCTCCCGGCGGTCCCCGC